AAAGTGATTTTGTGCTTCTTTGGGATGGCACAATCAAGCGACGTTCACTTGCAGAACGCAAGTTTCTAGAGGGCACATAACTCTGAAGTAATGAATTTAGTGGTGGTTTTGTAGGCAAACATTAATGCCTTGAATTTTATGTGAGCAGCTACTGGTAGCAAGTGCAAATTGATGAACAGAGGTGTGACGTGCAGTCTTTTCGGCTCGTTAAAGATTAATTTGTAGCGGCATTTTGGATGAATTGTAAAGGTTTGATAGAAGTGGCTGGAAGACCTGCCAAGAGAGCATTGCAATAGTCCAGCCTGGACAGAACAAGAGCTTGAACAAGGAGTTGTGTTGCATGTTCTGAAAGAAAGGGCCTGATCTTCCTAATGTTGTATAAAGCAAATCTGCAGGACCGGGCAGTTTTAGCAATGTGGTCTGAGAAAGTAAGCTGATCATCAATCATAACTCCAAGGTTTCTGGCTGTTTTTGAAGGAGTTATGGTTTATGTGCCTAACTGGATGGTGAAATTTTGATAAAGTTATGGGTTTGTTGAAACCACAAGCAGTTCTGTCTTAGCCAGGTTGAGTTGAAGGTGATGGTCCGTCATCCAACAAGAAATGTCTGTTAGACATGCTGAGATGCGAGCAGCTATCGTCGGATCATCAGGATGGAATGAGAGGTAGAGTTGAGTGTCATCAGCATAGCAGTGATATGAAAAGCCATGTTTCTGAATGACAGAACCTAGGGATGCCATGTAGACAGAGAAGAGAAGTGGTCCAAGTACTGAGCCCTGAGGCACCCCAGTAGCTAGATGTTGCGACTTGGACACCTCACCTCTCCAAGATACCTTGAAGGACCTACCTAGAGATAAGACTTAAACCACTGGAGTGTAGTTCCTGAGATGCCTATCTTCATGAGGGTGGACAGGAGGATCTGGTGGTTAACCGTGTCAAAAGCAGCAGACAGAACCAGCAAGATGAGTATAGAAGATTTGGAAGCCGCTCTTGCCAGTCTTAGGGCTTCAACAACTGAGAGCAAGGCAGTCTCGGTCGAATGTCCACTTCTGAAGCCAGACTGGTTGCAGTCCAGGAGGTTCTTCTGTGTGAGAGCGGCTGAGACTTGGTTGAACACAGCTCGTTCAAGTGTTTTTGCAATGAAAGGAAGAAGGGAAACCGGTCTGTAGTTCTCTAAAAGAGTTGGGTTAACAAATAATTAACAAATAATATAAAAATTAAACTTTTTATTTCAGCTAGTTGCATCAAGGCAACATTTCTCATTTTCATTCAGTTTAAGTACTAAAATAATTAAGACTAATAAATGAAAATAAAAAACTATAAAGATATTTAAAAATGACAAAAACACACAACTAATTTATTAAAATGTTAAGATTTAAAGTGAAAATATAAAATATTAAAATAAAATCTAATTCAAAATATTGACAACAAATTATAATATTTCAGTGATACTAAAATAACACTCATTTGAACATTTGTGTTCTTTTATTCGGCACTGCATTTGATAACACTATTTACCATAGTACGTAATATATAATAATAACATTAATCTGTTAACTAGTTAGTTAAATGTAAAAATACATTTCATTGCTAAACAAAATAGAAATAGAATAGAAAACAGCCATGGATCCGTTTTCCTGTTTATTCTAAAATACACTTTAATTGAATCAATTTGGCTGATTAGACTCTTTTGCATTCATGCAAATTACTGGATTCCGTGCACACACGTCCTATTTACAAATGACAGCAATTCATTAACATAACTATTACATCAGAGGTTTATTAAGTGTTTATGAATCCATAGGACAGTTTTTGCGAAGGTCGGTTTGCCATGCAAATTCCCAAAGTTTCCTGACTGTGTTTTGTGAATGTGTGTGTTTGCAGACCTGCGCACGGAGCTGTGTTACCTCACACACATCGACGAGCGCTGCGGCGCTCCGATCACGGGCCGGCACCGTGTGGACGCCTGCTGCTGCTCTGTGGGTGTGGCCTGGGGCCCGGAGTGCGACGAGTGTCCAGAGAAAGGAACGCCGGAATACGCGCAGCTCTGTCCTCGGCCCGGATTCTCCCACCGCGGAGACTTCATCAACGGCAAGCCCTTCCTGAAAGGTGCGTGAGACAGACGGGCCACGTTCATTCAGACGCTTATGCATTCATTCATTTACCGACTCAACATCATTCTGTTTTTCTGCAGATATAAACGAGTGTAAGATGATCCACAGCTTGTGCACAAACGGCCGCTGCAGGAACACCATCGGTAGCTTCCGCTGCAGGTGCGACAGCGGCTTCACTCTGGACTTTGATGAAAGGAACTGCACAGGTGAGTTCAGACGCAGTAAATGAGGCTCAGAGACACGCATGTGAACACGAATGTGTCCTGATGTGTCACGTAACACACAATCATTGTGCCTAAACGAGGGTTTGAACTATACAAGCTATGAATGGCTCTAAAATAAAACAGCCATGTCATGCAGGTTAGTAGCAGGTGGACCTGAACTCAGTCTAGATTCAGTCTAGACCTCATTGTCCACAGCAATATTCGATATGTTTTCTCTGATTTATCTGACACAGTTTTGTTTTCAAATTTTTAAGTCAGAATTTAATTTAATTTAATTTAATTGTTTTAATTAAATTACATTTTTTTTATTGAATTTGAATGAAAATTTAATTTAATATAATTTAGTTTTTTTTAAAAGAAATTTTATTTAATTTAAACTTTTTTTTAATTTACAAAAACTGGGAGTGTCCAGAGATTAAAATAAATAAATAAATATAATTGTAATTATAATTAAAATAACTGAATTTCAGGATTCCACTGTAAGAGCTGAATGTTCTTTAGGTTTCTTTTTAACCAATAAATCAGCATTAATTTTCCAGTCATTCCTGATGTGCTGGACAAGGACTTCTAAAATCTTTTTTAACAATATATGTTACTCACAAATTCGACCTGATAAAATACTTTAGAGCTTGGCATAACTAGTAGCATGTATATTCATCGTAAAATTACCTTGGAGTTTTAATATTTTGTTCATTTCCGTGACTTTTCCAGGTCTAGAAATCATGAGGCTTCCTCATAAATCCAGGTTTTTCAAGATCATGTTTATCCTGTTCCTTCAAAGACGTGTGTTTGAAGTGTGTGTGTGTTTTCACAGATATCGACGAGTGCCGCATCTCTCCTGATCTGTGCGGTCACGGCACGTGTGTGAACACAGCCGGTGATTTCCGCTGCGACTGTTTCTCCGGATACGAGAGCGGATTCATGATGATGAAGAACTGCATGGGTGAGACAGGGCTGGACCGTATAATGCAAAAAATAACATCTGGATATTTTTCAGAACATTTGAAGTTTTTGTAACGTTTTACTAGGTAGCCTAAAAACGTGACTACAGCTTGATTCAAGTCACATGAAGTTCAACATGGTGTAAACGTAAAACAAATTCACTTGTTAAATATAGAAATGATGCATGAAATATAAAGGCAGATATCATACTTAAACATATCCTACATGTTAAAAAATGTAGGCATTCGGTTTTAGAGGTCAACTCAAAAGGTCAAGACGATTCAAACTCTTCCTCACTGCAGCAGTAGATGATTATTAACAGTGACTGAAAACAGCGGCAGCTTTCAGTCTGTCAGCATCATGCACACATCAAATATCTTTTATATAAACACTGTAGACATGGTGTTAAAGTGATAGACACAGAATCCCAATAATCCTGCTGTCGTCTGCGTTTCTAATGTTGATGAAAGAAAAAACCAATCACTCACTGCTCTTGAACTTTAAAAAAGATATAAAGACTATAGTGTTATTTGATTAGCAGAATTATTAAATTTCTGTAGGGTACCTGTAAATCACTGTTAGACCTGCCTGCCATGCACCGTTTCTATATCTTTATTGTATAGTAGGCTATTTTGTGCTATTGCTTGTAATTTGATTTGCTCTTATTTTACAACTGACTATTTACTAGTCTCTAAAAATGTAGCCTATTAAATTTATATTCGTTAAGCTATGAGTTTTAGCAGGTATCGAAACTGGAATCAAGGATTGTGATTTTTTGCTATTATCTAAAATATTGGTGTCATAACTGCCTGTTTTTTTTTTTTTTTGCTATTATTTAAAATTTTGGTGTCATAATTGCCTGTTTTTTTCCCGTGGCTGGTGAAAAATATTTCTGGGCGGTAAATTTCCTTAAGTCACCGGCCATTGGCAGGTCTGGCAAAAAGCTAGTTTTAGGCCCTGCTGACAGGTATTTACAGGTTCAGGTAATATCAGAAGTGTTGTGAGAGTTGTGTTGCTCTGTTTCAGACATCGATGAGTGCGAGCGCAACCCTTTGCTCTGCAGAGGAGGTGAATGCATCAACACCGAGGGCAGCTTCCGCTGCGAGTGTCCAGAGGGCCACGAGATCGCTCCTGACGGCTCCGCCTGCCTGGGTCAGTGTGTGTGTGTGTGTGTGTGAGAGAGAGAGAGTGTGTGTGAGAGAGAGAGAGAGAGAGAGAGTGTGGGACGCTATCAGTGCTCCTGCAACACCGGCTACAAATCCACCGAAGACAGACTCTCGTGCATCGGTAAGACATACAGACACTCACCGGACTGGCGTTCATATTAAATGTGGCGTTTTCTCCTGTCGTCACTCGTACTGTGAGTCCAGACAGCAGCTCTCAAGGTCACAGTTTTTACAGCAGAATGCTGCCATAGAGGACATGTGCTCCTCAAACCAGAGAAAATCCAGCCCAAAGTCAGGGGAATTTAATAAATGTGCGCTTTCTCACCCCAGTAAACTACAATGAAGAAAAGTCTGGAAGCTGAAATGTTCTGCATGTGCACTATATTTACATTAGTACTCTCTAAAAAAAGACTTGAACCCTTCCCATTATAAACCGGCCCTAAAAGTGGATCTTTGAGTGATCCTGTTCATTACATTTGGACTTAAGTTTGGACTCTGAGTCTAAGGAACAAGAATGTGCAAAATATGTGTGTATATGGACATTATTTATGTAGCTTATAATGTGCTCTAGAGTTCAGTTTTAGTTCAGAGAGCTCAGATCTTCCAGGTTTCTGTAAACATCCATATAACACAAATGTGTTTTGCTCCATGACGAAAAGATGCCACTCTGGTTAAACCAAGTAAAATAAAAACAAAAACTGCTGGTTTTGAAATAATACATAGAACACTTGATGATCATGCATATAACCAACGGCAGCATCCGGTATCTCCCGGGAAATAACAGCGGGAAAGGAAACACGCATGTAGATATTGTAAATATACAGGAATATTCCAATGTTTGGACACACATTATTACTGTAAGCCGAGTTTAGACTTTAAACAGAATCTGATGCATGTAAACGCAGTCTGTGATGTGTAAATGTGACACGCGTGTTTGTGTGTGTGTTTCAGATATCGATGAATGCACCATTGAGAACGGCGGCTGTGAGACATTCTGCACCAATTCAGAGGGAAGTTACGAGTGCAGCTGTCGCCGCGGTTACGCCCTCATGCCTGACCTCAGGAGCTGCACAGGTCACACACACACACACACACACTCTCTCTCTCTCTCACCACACACACACGGACACACACTACACACACACACTGTACTGACCCCTGTCCGCTGATGTGTGTGTGTAGATATCGATGAGTGTGAGGACAGTCCTAACATCTGTCATGGCGGTCAGTGCACCAACATCCCCGGTGAATTCCAGTGCCTGTGTTTTGATGGCTACATGTCGTCTGAGGATATGAAATCATGTCTGGGTAAATCACACACACACTCATTCATTCATTCATTCATTCATAATGAGGCTGAGGACATGAGAACATTTGGACATGCACTGTGGTAATACCATAGTATTCTTTGAAGTACACTAAAGTACTGTGTGAATACCATAACACAGAGTTTCTCAAACTGAGGCTGACGAGGTGATGAAAAGCTAACAATGAATTAAATCATAAAAATGTAAAAAAGAAAATTATTTTAAATAAAAGACATCAAAATAAAATGCTAAAAATAATTAAATCATAAAAGGTAAAAAATTAAATAATTTTAAAATAAAAACCATCAAAATAAAATACTTACTAAAAAGATTAAATATTTTATTTGTTTACTTGCTTGTCATGTGATCATTAGTCGACATCGGTGAACTATGAACTTGCAAATGTGTTGTTAAATTATTGAAATATTAACTTAATTTCTCAAAGGGTTTCCAGCTGAAAAAAGTCTGGGAATCCCTGTCATAATGTATGAATATGGTACTCATTCAGTACCGTGGTAAATGTCAAAGTAGCATTCTGTTACCTTCTGATACCACCACAGTATGCACTCACTTATACATTCATACAGTACATACGTTTTCTTATTTAATCTGTGTGTGTGTGTGTGTGTGTGTGTGTGTCAGATGTGAACGAGTGTGAGCTGAATCCAAACATCTGTCTGAGCGGGAAGTGTGAAAATACAAAGGGCTCGTTCATCTGTCACTGTGACCTCGGCTTCTCCGTCAGGAAAGGGACGACCGGCTGTACAGGTGAGACGCCCTTCACACACACACACACACACACACACATGCACACACACACACGCACACACACACTCGTGTTTGTTTAGTGAGGACGTTACATAGACTCTCATTGCTTTTCTATCAGGTTAATGTTATTTTCTATCAGCTAACCAACCTCTACCTCTAAACTTACCCATCACAGAAACATGTGCAGAACACTAGATTTACATTTACATTTAATCATTTAGCAGACGTTTTATCCAAAGCTACTTACAAATGAGGAGAACAATAGAAGCAATCAGACCAACAAGAGAGCAACAGTATACAAGTGATGTAACAAGTCTCAGTTAGTCTAGCACAGTACACATAGCAAGGTTTTTTTTAAACAAATAAATTAGTAAAAACGAATATAGAATAGAATAGATAAGTGTTAGTATTAGTTAGTCAGGTGCTGGAGAAAAATATGTGTCTTTAGACGTTTTAGTTGTTCCACCAGCTGGGCACAGTCCAGGAAATGGTCCGTGAAAGTGATTTTGTGCCTCTTTAGGATGGCACCACGAGGCGTTGTTCACTTGCAGAACACAAGCTTCTGGAGGGCGCATACGTCTAAACTAGTGAGTTTAGGTATATTGGTGAAGAGCCAGAGGCTGTCTTGTAGGTAAACATCAGTACCTTGAATTTGATTCGAGCAGCTCTTGGCAGCCAGTGCACACTGATGAAGAGAGGTGTGACGTGGGCTTTCTTCGGCTCGTTGAAGACCACTCTCAATGCAGCATTCTGGATCAGTTGCAGAGGCTTGAAAGTACATGCGGGAAGACCTGCCAAGAGAGCATTACAATAGTCAAGTCTAGAGAGAACAAGAGCTTGGACAAGAAGTTGTGTGGCCTACTCTGATAGGACTGGTCTAGTTTTCCTAATGTTGTATAAGGCAAATCTGCAGGACCGGACTGTTGTAGCAATATGGTCTGTGAAGCTTAACTGATCATCAATCACAACTCCAATGTTCCTGGCTGTCCTGGAAGGAGTTATGGTTGACAAACCTAGCTGTATAGAGAAGTTGTGATGAAATGCTGCGTTGGCTGAGACCACGAGGAGCTCTGTCTTAGCAAGGTTGAGTTGAAGGTTGATGGTCCTTCATCCTGCCAGAAATTTCTGTCAGACAGGCTGCAATTTAAACAGCTACCGTCGGATCATCTGGATGGAATGAGAAGTAGAGTTGAGTGTCATCAGCATAGCAGTGATAAGAAAAGCCATGCTTCTGAATGACAGATCCTAATGATGACATGTAGCTAGAGAAGAGAAGCGGTCCAAGCACTGAGCCCTGAGGAACCCCAGTAGCAAGAAGCTGTGACTTAGAAACCTCACCCCTCCAAGACACCCTGAAGGACCTACCTGAGAGGTAAGACTTGAACCACAGGAGTGTGGTTCCTGAGATGCCCATCTTCATGAGGGTGGACAGGAGGATCTGGTGGTTAACTGTGTCAAAAGCAGCAGACAGATCCAGCAAGATGAGTACTGAGGATTTGGAAGCTGCTCTTGCC